CCCCAAAACCCCAAAACCCCAAAACCCCAAAACCCCAAAACCCCGATTATGAAATCTTTTTGAATATTTAATAGATAATAAATACCTAATGGTCTTCTAAAATCTAAAATTCAACCTCTTATGACTTCCCAGCTTTGGATAAGCTAAATGATGGTTCATTTATATACGAGAGATACTAATTTAACCAGAATTCACTGGTATATCAATATTATATAAGAATACAAGTTACAAACAAGTCTGCCTTTCCTATCTCTGGTCTTGCTTGTCTTAATAACCTCCGCTATTTATTTTGCTTGTCTGCTTTCTGCTTACCCTCATGAGCCTTAGTGTTACTCTTATCATTATTCTTGCTTTTTGGCTTATTATTACCTGAATCATCAGTATTTTTATTATTTGACTTAGTATTCGGAGGCCTTTGGTGAGAAGTCTTCTCACCTACCTTACTGGACTTCTCCTCCTCAAAATTATTAGAATTCTTATGGTTTTTATTTGTTCCCCTTTGGTTTATACTTATTATTTCTTGCCTTATCATTATTCTTAGGAGGTCCTTTGGCTTCTTCACCTTCGTTTTGAGGAACGCCTGAATTTTTCCGATGATCCTTGTTGCCTTTATTATCATCCCATTTCTTTTTGCCTGGCTTTCCTCTAGAGTTCTTATAGTTGTTGTTCCGATCTCCCTTGCCTAGTGGAGGAGTGGTGCTTTTGCTTTTCTGCCCAGAATCTCCTAAATTAATTATAATTATTTGTATTCGAGATATAGATAAATCTTTTAAAATTCTATTTGTTAATCTTTGTTGCAGAAAATCACCGAGTGAGGATTCAGCATCCTAAGATTTTGTGGAAATTTGAAGGCAGAATTAGAAGATTACCGTAATTATTATATCCCCGGTCTGGGCTGTTCGGTCCATAATTTTTAATTCCTAAGTCTAGTCGTCGTTCTTCAATATATGCAGCCCAGTATGGAATGTGGAAATCTTCAAGTTTTAAATTAGTAGCTAGTTTTTTAGCAGCTTCTTCTGAAGTATCTCAGCTAAAAATGGAGAAGAGCCTAGTTTCATTATTTTCTCTGTTGATCTTTATAGTGAATTGAACCGTCTTGAGATTCCTAATAGGTTTCATAGTCTTTTTATTTTACAAATCCATTGCTCATTCCTTCAACACTGTCGCTATAAGGCAATTCTCTCATTTTCCAAGATTCTAGTGAAAGCAGCTTGAATAGCTTTTAGAATAAAAGCAAAGACAAAGATCAGATCTCGAAATCCCTAAAAAGGAGTTACCTATTTATAAATAATTGCTTATTCTTAGGTTTTTCCTTTGTAGAGCTACTCGGATAGCTCCTTACACCTTCATGCGTGCGATTAGGCTCCTGCTGGCTATACATACCAACTGATTTGTCATAGAAATTGCTCTGTCCATGATAAGACCCTAAACTATGCTCCATCTCTGTATAATATTAATTATTTTTTCTAAAATATGGGGTTTTGGGGTTTTGGGGTTTTGGGGTTTTGGGGTTTTGGGG